TGTTCTCTTTCTTGATCTTTCTCGGCATTTTCTTTCTTCTTATAACAACTAAACTTGTTTATCTTCCTTGTCTTTCACACATAAGCAAAACTCAAACTTTAAAGTCAAAATAGATGCAAAATTCAAAAGTTTTTGGCGCCGTTTTGTACTTCCAGCACAGGGAGCCCAAGCTATGCACTATTTTGAAAAAAACATGCAGAGAAGACATGGGTACGAAGTTTCTTTCAATCTCCTTGAACTATTTGTGGTTCCGATCGACCTCCCTCTCACTGGATACTTTAAAATATAAAAAATATGAAAAATATAATATAATACCGCAAGTGCGTTCTTATGAGCTAGCATTCGCTCCTGCAAAAATCTGGATTACCTGTGGTATTACGTCACGACCCAGTGCCTCGCGCAACCTCGTTTTACGGTTACGGTTTCTCTGCCCGCTATTTTAAGCAAATTTTAATTTTAATTTTAAAAAGTACAAGGTTACGGGGTTTTTTTTCGTTGTTTTCGAGAATTTTTAATTATTCTTGAATATGTTTATGAAGTAATGAAATACAATATGAAAATATAGAAAAAACATCAAAGTGTGGGCTGCCTGTGGCTGGGCGTGGATACATAATGGCGGATGAAATTCTGTTTTACATACTTGCTGGTCATTCCATTAATGAAATATTAAATAGCACACCGGGGAAACAATAGCAATTTTGACAACAAAAATCGCCTGTTCAYATGCAAAGACTAAACTTTGAGATGGAGAAAACGAGAAGGCGGTGGAAAACAAAAACGAGAGTCAGTTAATTTATTTGCAAATAATGGACGGAAAAYAAAAGGTCAAGATTGATACAACGGACTGAAAGACTCTGAGTTATTGAAGCAAACAACATGAACGAGTACAGATATCAGCGGTTGTTGAAATTTATGAACCCGCTTACAAACATTAAACAACTTTTAATGGCGTTGAGAGAAAGTCTAAAACGAAGTAGAAACAAAGCTGTTGACTTCCTCATCATATTGGACATCAGTGGATGTGAAGACCAAAATAGGCTCTGTGCAGTTGGGGGGCATGTGACCYGAACTTAAATCAATAAGCTATATATGAGGCTTACAACAATGAACTGGAAACAGTTTTTAGGAATTGGGAAAACTGTATTCAATTCCTCTTTACATTTCATTTTGCCATACCTGATTGATTTAAGATAGGTGTGGTCATGAGACCCTCAGCTGCAAAATGCAAATATTGGAAGGCATGGTGGCCTTGTACATGCATAATCACTTACAATGACACCAAATGGTCTATGGAAGCAATTCTAGTTGTTGATCCATCGGGTGCGATTTCTTTCCAATGCATTTGTTTAGTTTCTTCTGTAGCAATGCTGTCGCTGCCATACTATTTGCAGACTTCCTTCTTTCTTTCGTAAAGATTATGGTATTATTAAATCCTTTGTGTTTCTAAAGTGTTTTTGKTCTCTTTCTTGATCTTTCTCGGCATTTTCTTTCTTCTTATAACAACTAAACTTGTTTATCTTCCTTGTCTTTCACACATAAGCAAAACTCAAACTTTAAAAGTCAAAATGCAAAAAGTCAAAGTTTTTGGCGCCGTTTTGTACTTCCAGCACAGGGAGCCCAAGCTATGCACTATTTTGAAAAAACATGCAGAGAAGACATGGGTACGAAGTTTCTTTCAATTGAACTATTTGTGGTTCTGATCGACCTCCCTCTCACTGGATACTTTAAAATATAAAAAATATGAAAAATATAATATAATACCGCAAGTGCGTTCTTATTTGCATGATATGAGCTAGCATGCGCTCCTGCAAAAATCTGGGTTACCTGTGGTATTACGTCACGACCCAGTGCCTCGCGCAACCTCGTTTTACGGTTACGGTTTCTCTGCCCACTATTTTAAGCAAATTAAAGTACAAGGTTAGGGGGGTTTTTTCGCTGTTTTCGAGAATTTTTAATTATTCTTGAATATGTTTATGAAGTAATGAAATACAATATGAAAATATAGAAAAAACACCAAAGAGTGGGCTGCCTGTGGCTGGGCGTGGATACTGGAGGATGAAATTCTGCTTTACTTGCTGGTCATAGACGTCCTCCTCCGTCCTCCTCGCATTGATGCAGAAATATTAAATAGCACACCGGGGAAACAATAGCAATTTTGACAACAAAAATCGCCTGTTAACATGCAAAGACTATACTTTGAGATGGAGAAAACGAGAATGCGGTGGAAAACAAAAACGAGTGTCAGTTAATTCATTTGCAAATAATGGACGGAAAGCAAAAGGTCAAGATTGATACGAGGACTGAAAGACTCTGAGTTATTGAAGCAAACAACATGAAGGAGTACAGATATCAGCGGTTGTTGAAATTTATGGACCCCCTTACAAACATAAAACAACTTTTAATGGCGTTGAGAGAAAGTCTAAAACGAAGTAGAAACAAAGCTGTTGACTTCCTGGTCATATTGGACATCAGTGGATTGTGAAGACCAAAATAGGATCTGTGCAGTTGGGGGGCATGTGACCTGAACTTAAATCAATAAGCTATATATGAGGCTTACAACAATAAACTGTTTTTTTGGAATTGGGAAAGTATTCAATTCCTCTTTACATTTCATTTTTCCATAGCTGATTGATTTAAGATAGGTGTGGTCATGAGACCCTCAGCTGTTTCTTTATTAGTAATGATGGATTGATTGATTCTTTTATATTTTCCTATAGCAGACATCATTACCAACAAACCACTCATCAGTGGCAACACAACTGCCTTGACTGTTATCAAAGAACAGCCTGGAAGCAGCAGTTTGTTGGCTGGCTGTTTTCTACCAGGTCTCCTTGTCATCATGTTTGTCATTGTGGTAGTTTTGAAATGGTAAGTGTCAACAAAAATAGACAAAAGAGACTGGTCAGTCTACAACATAACAATACAGTCAAATATCCAATACGGATAAGACAACTAGTCCATTAAAATAAACACTTTCACAGTTTAGTTAGAATAAGAAATTATTATATTACATATTATTATCAATTATTAATTATTTGTTTTCATGTGATTTTCTATCAGGCGCAGCAACAAAACTAGACAACAACATATGATGGCAAAGACAATTAAGATCATCAACATTAAGAGGTAACATTCTCAAACTCATTATCAATTCATGAGTAAAGTTATTACCCAATCAGAAGACCTGTACTTGACRTATTTTTGTCACATGCATAGTTCTGGTCTAAAACGTCATCTGAACCCATGSGTTGAGAGCTTATTTACATAAATTTGTAAAAAATAATAAGTATCATTGTACTGACTGCTTAATTTTAAAACTATCTGAAATGTTCCACAGGCAAATTGCTGAATACAAGGAAAAGTTATCCAATTGCAATGACTTTATCAGCGATGTCAGGCAAAAACAGCTTGCAGGTACAACATTCTTCATTATCATTAATATAGCTATTATCAAAAGTACATAAATACTTCTGCTCTACACAAATGTGTATTGAGCACTATTCGTCGGTGTTTACGAAAAATCATCACTATTATTAAATACTTCTGCTATTATTTAAGTGAGTCATGTTTTATGTGACGTCCTTGAGAGAACTTTATGTAATGATCTCCACCCCCATTACATGCCCAATAACGCCTACTTCAAATGAGCTTAAGGGGCTTAAAAGGCTCCTCCACAGGCACCTCGCTTTTCCAGTTTTTATCGATGTTGTGCTTCCTGTGAAAGAAAAGGGGACTGGAAAGGGGAAAAAATACCTTTTCGGTTTTTTTTCGCCATCTCGTTAAGTGTCCCTCTCTTTTACTGAACTTACGCAGGAAGGGCGTTTATTTCCTCAGCATCTGTACTCCCAGTCAATAACGCTACAAAAGACGAAGACAAACTATGTCAACTAAACAACAATGCAGTTACAGGGAAAGAAATTGTGGTGTGGAAGCCTAAAGAAAAACAACAACTAAGCAAGTTACTGGAAGGTAAAACATTTGTGTTAACTTTGGACGTCCAGAAGTTTAATGTGGATGTGAAGAGATGCAAACTGCAGCCATCAATGCTGGATTGGACGGTTGAGAAACCTTGCTGCCTAGAGATCGTTCCTTGGCAAGCAAAACCTGAGCATGTGATCACTTCACATGAAACAACCTCACCGCCACAGGAAGCGTACAAGATTGACGGTAATAAACTCTTTCTTCTTGATCTCTTTTGACGCTTCAAGGACTATCCCACAGTTTACACTCAACATTTTCAATTGTCGTTGTAATTCTTTTATGATTTTGTTAAACGTTTCAAATTCCTATAACGTTTTTATTGTTCACAAAATCAAAATAGTCGTATAAATCGCGGTTTTAAGGAGCCATCATGGAAGCTTTGCCCGACAAATTCTCTGCATCTTTGATTTCAAACCAATCAGAAAGTAACTTTCGACAAGAAATCATTTGTGGATCAAAAGAAACGATCGCAAAGGTTCGTGGGTGAATGTGGTCCTTTACCGTCAGACTGACAAGCAATTCCTCTGGACGCAGCACAACTTGCTTCGCAAGGGCAATGCAAGCACGATTTATTTTGTAGAGTATTTTTTAATACAAATTTGAGAACACACCATGAGTCATCAAGAAAACCAACTATTAAATGGTAATACATGTATACAATATTATTTCACAGCAATCACAAAACATCTAGAAAGCACACCTTGCCTACAAATAAATGAAATCAAAGGCAACGAAATTGTTTTGCCTAAACACATGGTAAAAGACCACCTAATGAAGTTGCTGGAAGGCAAAACAATAGAGCTTCCTTTGGATGTTGAGTTGGTTAATTTGGATATGAAGAGATGCAAACTGCGGCCAGCAATGCCCGATGGGATGGTTTGCGGAAGGCAAACTTGCTGCCAAAAAATTAGACAAAAGCCAGAAAGTTCTATCCAAATCCAACAGTACATCAAAAGCAAATGCAAAAAGAGAACATTACATCCCGAGAAGACGGAGAACAAGGATGAGAAAGAAAAAGAATCCCGACCATCGGGACCTCTGCCGTCTGAAGACGATGATCATCCAAATAGTTCTCCGGTATGTATCATGTACAACACACCTATAAAGTTGGATACATGTTATAGTTTTGAATCATTCTTATAATATTAAGACGTTGCGGGGGATCCGGTGATCATTCCGAGTAGGAAGTTGAGTTGCCACAATGAGTCGAGAGTGGGTTAAGAATGAGTAGGCAACGGTGATTACTCGAATTATCATATTATTAGTACAGAAGAAAACACATACTATTGTAGCTTTTCAAGAATTCCTATTTGAATCGTTATTGTTGTTTTTGATTGTTTATCATTATTTAGCGCCCAATTCTTTGAAGGTCTTTTAAAAGACATAATATTTAATATATCGTACCAGGATACCATCAAGACAGGCCGAGTGAGTGATCAAAAGAACGCCTCGCGGTCATTGTCTCCTGAGAATAACGACGAATTTCAAGTTAATGAATCGAAAAGGTAAATTACTATATAGTGTAGTTTGCTATTACAAATAGTTGTTCAATCTTTAAAGTAACTGCGTCTACAATGTTTTTTATATTACTATTATTATTTTTATGCATTGTTTCGTTTGTAAGTGTTTCGTAAATTACAGTTGGTGCTACAGTTGCTACAATGTTGACTTAAAGAAATGTGTTGCGTTTTTGTTTTCACCAATCACATTATATTAAATTTTCTTTTATTTCGGTAGAAACCATGACAATGAGAACAAAGTATCATCAGATATACCCGCGAAGGAAGGTCCTTACCACAATGAAAATAACAAATCTGACGAAGCGCCATCAGAGACCATGGAGTCTGTACATTCACAGACTACAAGAAMGAAAACAACTGACMCATCWTGTACCATCGAAGTCGATCTTCAYAAGGAAGAGGTACTCCAAGAAACAAAATATGCTAGCAAACAATAGTGTGTTATGGAATCAACCGTTCAATTATCATTATTATTGTCCAGGGCTGTGATGTGTTCATTGACGACCAATTGATGTCCCAGGATTCACAGGCGCCAAGTGAAGAAACGCAGAGGGACCTAAAGACATCCAGCAACATTGATCTTGATGACAAAGAGGTACAGTCACTGACCAAGGAAGACCCTGTTGACATGGTGTCTAMACCTGACGTTTCGGTATGTAAACTAGTGTGTATGTTAATCTTGATAAAACACTGCTGCTCGTTTTTTTATATATTACACAACATGATAACATATTATTGTTGTCAAGCCATGTGACGTGTTTCCATTACCGTCGTCTTGTGATGCCGACCTCTTTACAAGCGGAGAAAAGGTCCAGCAGCCATTGCAATCATCAGCTGTATCCAAAGACACCCCTCCCCTTAGACACACTTCAACAAAAAGGTATTTTATTTTCATATTAATTTTTCTGAAAAATATCCTTGTTCTTAAATCGGTCAAAATTATATAATATAATTTTATAACAAATACTACACTGCTTCCTATGTCAGCGGTTACCATCAAAAAGTTGATAATATGAACAAAATGTCTTTTGTATCTGAACAATTGCAATGTTTTTGTAAGTGGTTAGTAACAATTGTTGTTCCAGTTTGACCACATGGTGGACTAGACTTACTGTCATAAATGTGTCAGCTTTTTCATGGTATGTTAAATCCTTCAGTAAAAATCGTAGAAAGGAGAACAAGAAACGGAAAAGGAAAACACCATCAAAAGTGACGTTGAAGAAAGATCTTCACCACATTGAAAAGAACAAATCTGACGAAGCACCACTGCCATCAGAGGTCAGGGCTTCTATAGATTCACTGTCACCAGAAGAGGAAACATTTTGCTCATCTGGCAGAATCGAACTCCATCTCCAGGAGAAAGAGGTACTTCATGAAACACGTGAATGTTCTTAAATAAAATGTTTGCTGAGAAATAAATCTAATATATTAGTATTTATAAATTGTCGTTGTTATTGTCCACTAGGACTGTGATGTGTTCATTGAGGAGAAAGCGTCATCAACGTCCCAGGATTCACAGACGCCAAGTAAAGAAACGCGGAGTCAGTTACCTTCATCTCGCCCCATTGATCTTAGTGAAAAAGAGGTAAAGCCATCGCGACCACTGACGAAGAAGGACGCTGATAATAAAGTTACAACAGCTACCGTTGTGGTATGTATTCTGAGGTCGGAAATCAATTTTTCAAAATTTATTCCTAAGGGTCTTTCTCCCGGAATTACCACTTTCTAAGCACTATAGCTTCCTTTCATTTCTATATCTGTATTCTGTCGTGCAAGTCAAGGTTACAAATTGAGCGACCTTCTAGAGTATTTTATGAGTGTTTGCAACGACAATGTAGATTGTTATGGGCACAATAATGTATCTCTGATTACATCACGCTAATATTAGCAAATATTATAATATTTATGATATATTATCATTATTGTCAAGGCCTGCGATGTGCTTGCGTCAACGTCATCCCACGATACCGACCTCTGTACAAGCAGTGAAAAGGTCCACCGACCATTGGCTACATCTAAAGACTTCTCCCCCTCTCTCATTGGAGACAATCGTCTAAAAAGGTATCTTATTTTCTACATACCTATTTAGAAAAACCGTGTTGTATGACGGCTATCAAGTTATAAAGGATATAGTACCTCGTATGTTAGTAACTTTAAAATACTTCATAGATAATATGAACAAGATTAGTCTTTTATTGAGTCTTTTTTTTTATGTGCTGCAAGTGTTTAATAACAGTTGATGTTACAGTTGTAGCACATGGTGCCCTAGAATTAGTATCATTAATGTGTTTTTCTATCAATCATGGTATATTCAGTTATTTCTATTTCAGTAAAAATCTTAAAAAGGATAATCAAAGAAAGCGAAAATCCCACAATGAAAAGAACACATCTCATGTGCATAATGCGGAGAAAGCGTCATTGAAGTCTCAAGATTTACAGGCTTCAGCAGAAGAAACAAGTGAGTTACTCTCTTGCACCATTGATTGTCGTGAAAAGAGATGGATTCATCAGAACCACTGACTTGCTGACCATCAAAGATGCTGATAATATAATGATGTGTAATATACGACAATATTTTGCTATTATTTCGTTTTTTTTGTGTGTGTGTTTTACACCAAACGCAGCTGATTGCATTCATTACACATTTCCACGTCTTTCTTTCACCCATTGATGTGTCTTTAAAAAAATTTTTGTAATTTGTCTGCCAATCTTATCAAACATTGATTTATCCATTTAGGAAAATGTGACGTGAAGTCCAAAATATATGAAGATAAGAACAAACTCAATGGACATGACAAACGTTCCTCAAAACCATTGACAATACCAGGGTCAAGTGTCCAGGATAAGCCTGGTACGATATTAAACACTAATGAACAACACTCGTCAGCGCAGAATCGCGCTTATATTGGAACAAAAAACACGCAACGATCGGACAGCCTGACTAAGAAAATCAGTCAACAATCACGTCAAGGTATTTCGTCTGCTAATCAACAGCTAAAAGACATTGCTTGTGCAGAGGAAAGATCCAAAAATACAAGAGATCCCGTAATCCCTCCCCTGAATGAACAGCACTTCCCACGTCTAAGTACATTAGATAAAAGAACTTTAAATATCTACGACAAAAACGAACAACAGAATACTTACAATCTACCGTTGGAGTGCAATGCCGGGGTTGAAGGAAAAGCACATTCAAAAATAAAAAAGCAAATATCAGCAGATCTAGATAGCAAAAAGACACAACCAACGCCGAGATGCAATGCCCATACAGAGGAGAGATTTCTTGCAGCGAATCAACAAAAACCATCACCCCTGGTTAAGGAGCACTTTCCAGAGCTTAGTCCATTAAATATCAATACGGCCAGTTTGACAAGAAGTAAAGGAACGAAAAATATCAGCGACAAAGATCAACGAAGAACCTTTAGTAATTTACAAACATTGGAGATTAATGTCGATGCAGCAACGCAGCCCATTCCCCCGCCATTGAATGAGGAACACTTTCCAGTGCTTGGTCCTTTAGAGTTAAAAAAGAAAGGCAGGACATATCTTGATAATGAAAAGAGACAACGATCAAACCAAAACACTTTGCTTGTTAAAACACCCCGGATGGAGCGCCATGCTTCTTCAAATACTTTACCAATAATATCTGGAAAAGCCTGTGTACAGGAGAAGTTACAGGCACCATCAATGACCGAAGAAAATTTCCCAATGTTAAGCTCATCAAGACCTGTCAAGAAAAAGCGACAACAATCCATGGAAAGCACAACAAAACCACGTCTGGAAACATCGAGCCATCGTACTAAGATAAAGGAGCAAACTTCGACTCTACCACCAAAGAAAGACAGCTGTGTAGT